AAAGGAGATTTAATTAGCAAAATCTCGTTAGGCAAACGAAATTATCCGTAAGACAATACTCCTCTGGACAGGGGGTATGATTAAACAAAGCCATTAATTGAGAGAGTCGCTTTGGCAGCTCCCCGGATGCATTCATCTCTGGGCAGGCCCCACTTTGGCTCCTTGGGCCATCGGAACAGACTCTGCTTCCTCCCCGCCGCCCCACCCGCTCCCCACTTCATCTTGGCTCTTGCAGAGCCCCCTCCAGTCGGGGCTGCAGACCTCGGCATCTCATCAGCGGGCCGCTCTGCCGCCAGATTCCTGCTAAAGTGCCTTGATTGCATAATGTCTATTTGCATAATGTAAATTGCAATCTCCTAGCTCGGGAGAGGCAGGAATCACAGAACAGCCATTATTTTTTACCACTCCACAAAAATTCTACATTTAGAAAGCAGATTTGCAGCTCAGAAAGCCATATAAATCTGAATCCACCAGAAACGCCATTAAATCACACCAATTAAGCCGGACCAACGAAGAGCCCCTGTCACTGTTCTGTGCACACTCAAGGACTCCCTGCCCAGATGGAGGCCACGAGATACCAGAGGCTGTGGCAGTGGGGCTGGGCACAGGAGCTGCAAGGGGAGGGAATTCTTGTCTTATAAACCTTAACACACACCCTGACCGACCGTTGGCCTTTGAAACTGCCCCAATCAAGATTTGGAGGAGAAAGGGTGAGAGGCAGGTAGGACTTGTCTAAGTTATTTCTGAAAGAGACTTCGGCTCCCTCCATTTCGGCCTCAGTCTGTGTACTTCCTGATTCCGTTCTTTCCAGCTTATCTCTTAACTCAAACGACCCTGTGTGCAAAGCATCCCATGATGGGAACCGAAACTCGCCCCTTGAGCAAGAACAACTGTCCTGACACCAGCAAGACCCCTGTGAGTGACCCCAAGACAGTGATGGATCTGACCTTTACCACCCACCTGCGCGGGTACCCACTGACCTTTGTTCCACATTTTCCTTACGTATGTTCAGCACTTTGGAGCCGGTCTTTGAGATACTGGGCCACTGCCTTCCTGGTGTTGGCCACGCTGAAATAGATTCCTTTCTTATCTCACCACTGCTCCTCTCCCTGCCTTTGGATTTTGTCAGCGGCAAGTGGCTGAACTCGGTCTGTTTGGGATCCCCACGCCAGGTGCTCTGGCACCCCTGTGTCCCCGCTACATTTCTTAAGCTCATCACCTGATTTGGGATGGGCACACTGTCTCTAGACTTTGAATTTGTGGAGCAGGAGGGTGCGTAGCAGGAAGAAGTCTGCACCTTCAGCAGACGTAACAGGGAGATCTAAGGTGTTTCTCACATGGGCAAAACATCCACACATTTAGCAGCTCTTTAATGACTTTTCCTCTCTTCTCCCAAGCCCACTCCAGCCAACGGTAGGAGAAATCCTGCTCACACCAGGCTGGGCTGGAATCTGGATGCTCTTTAAAAAGCTGTTTCCTAGAGGTCACGGGGGAGGGAGGGGAGTCACAAGGTGCCTGGAAAGAGGCATTCCCTCTGACAACTACGTAAGATCCCAGCTTCCCCGCAGCCAGCCCCAAACCTGGTTACTCTTTTGCCTCTTTATTGCTCATTCAATATTCATTTGTCAAAGGGCAAGATGCTAATGTGTATTATTAAAATATCAATAGTTTATGAGTGAACTTTTATGGAAGATACAGTTAAAGGAAAGATTCTTGACCATTCCTGTCAGGAGCAATGGAGAACAATCTTTCCAACTCCACTTTTTATTTATTTACTGGGTGGATGAGTGACTGACCCGTTTTTTGAGTAGCTATTGTGTGCCAAGAATGGTTTTAGTGCTTTCGCATGCTGGCTTCCCTCCAGTCCCCACAGCAGACCTGGGAGGGGTATACAATCCCATCTCCATTCTGGACATGAGGACTCTGAAGCCCAAGCAGATTCACCTGGATCACAAAGGTGCTAAGTCAGGATCCAAACTGATTTTGGGGCTTCAGATCCAATTCCACCACCACCACCCCCAAGTTGGAGCCTTGAAAATACACATGATCTTTACGTTTTTACCTGTTCCTTCATTGGTCCAAATAGAACTTTGGTTTCCTGACCTCCGTTTCCCAGCTCCAGCACCTCTTTATCAAAACCAAGCCCCCTGACCCCTCACTTCCCTACTCCCTCCCTTTCGGCGTTAGCCATTTTCAGACCTCAGCCCTTTGAGGGAAATGAATCAGTTCTGTTTCCACTCTTTTGTTGTCTGAGTGTTGTTTCTATCCTCTTAAGTCACAGCAAGGTATCCAGGCACTCAGATTCTCTTCCAAAATTCACCCACATCTGCGACGGTAAAATGACAAAGATAAAGAAGCGTGGTCCCTAAATGGCACAGGTTATAGTGTATGGCAGAAGGGCAGGAAAGAGAGAGGGTGTGGGGGTCAGATAGGAAAGGCTGCCCAGATCTCCCCAGTCCCCCACAGAGCCCCAGTAGCCTCTTAGGTTCTGATCTTTGGCTGAAACCTCCCCCAGCTTGGAAGACCATTGAGTTGGGGGTGTAGGGGCCCTTGGATGGGAATGGAGGGTCTAGGCTTGAGGGATCCTTGGTCACAGGTCTGTGTGACTCACCAGACCTAGCACCTCAAGCTGTGAGTTGCAAACTGGATGACTTTGGCGGAAATGGACACCAACATGGAAGCTTCCACCAACTGCAGGAACTCCGAACACCAGCGGGTCCTTGGGGAGTCCCGCTTTGGAAGGAAGCCTAGCCTGGCCTCTCAGGGGGAGGGGCTTTAAACCCAGACATTCTGTGACATAAGGGACAGTTTGATGACCAAAGATAGGGGTTTCTTCAGCCTGTCTTTGGAAATTATGGGGCTGTACTATGTCAGACTTGCCAAATACCAGTCGTGGTAGATTGTACTCTCCAAAGATGGCTGCAACAACATACACCCATCTCTATCTCCTCTTTTCACGTGCTGCTGACACTCATCCTTTGAGTCATGATGGCAGGGATGTCTGTGTTCCCTTCTTTGAACTGAGGTAGGCCTTTGTAACTGCCCCAATCAAGAGAACATGGTGGAAGTAAGGCAGCGCCCACCTGGCTCTTGTTCTCTTTCAGGGTGTTCCCTTCCTGGCGTTTGGCCACCATGCTGAGAAGGAGCCCAAGCCACCTGGAGCAGTCACGTGGGCCTGGCTGGCGGGTCCCACTAACATCTCAGCCAACCCCTAGTATTAGCCCCCCAAATTCTAAGTGAATGAGCCTTCAGACAATTCCGGCACCCAGCTTTTCACCTGCCTCGGCTGAGATCCCAGACCGGGCGGATCAGAGACAGGCTGTCCCTGATGTGCTCTCTTTGAATTCCTGACTCACAGAATATGCACATAAAAAACACTGTTAAGACACTAAGTTTTGGGGTGGCTTGTTACACAGCCGTAGTAACTGGAACACCACCGGAATGAAACAGAATGTCTGCCGTTTCTCTCTCAAATCCAGCCTTCACTGGTCTTCACTCAGACTTCAGACTATTCCCTCCTCAACTGGCCCCAGTCCCTCTGAGCCCATCCCGTCTCCTCTTCCTTCCTCATGCTCTTCCTTGTTCCTCAGTGCAGGTCCAAGCATGTGTCCCTGTGAGGGGGCTTCCCCTGGATGTGTGTGGGGTGCCCTCAGACACAGGGAGGGAATGTGCACACCTATTTCCTACATGCTCTCCACTCTCATTAAGGTTCACGCTCAGCTTGCTTCTCTCCTACTTGGCTTGACTTATGAGGCCCCTTTAACCTCCGGAGCGAGGAGACAAGATTCTCACCAAGCTCTATCTACCCTGGCTCCCCTAGACCCCCAGTGCGTCTCCTAGGTAGGCTTTCCCGGAACAGGATGGAGGGAGGCACCCTTCCCTCCAACCCCCTACCCCCAGGGGGCCGGGATCCGACCACTCCAGAGCCTGGGCTGTGGAGGAGGTGCCCTGGGAGCCGCAGCCCGTCAATCACAGAGGCGACCAGCACTGAATCGCAGGCCATTAGGCGGGAGGGCCGGCGCCCTGCTCACTCACCGGGCAGCCATCGGCAGGATGTTAGACGATCGTATGGCGGCCATTCTTATGATTTATTCAAAAACTCATTACAGTCAATCTATTTTTACACAGAGGTGAAGATGTGCGCTGATAACAGTTAATCATTTATAATTCCATGGACTGGTTGGAAGCCAATGTACTATCAAAGGCGCAGCAGCAGCCCAGCCTCTGGTAGCCCCAGAAGCAGGGTGGGGAAGCTGCATAGCCCCGGGCAACCCAGCCTTCCGGCTGACATTTGCTGGAGCAGAGACCGGGTTGAGGGTGCAGTGGGGACACAGAGACACCGGAATCCCTGGCTGCCCTCCAGGAGCTCACAGCATCGCTGGTGGGTGTGCAGAGAGATGCAGGCCAGGGGGAGGTGGGCATGTGAGCACAGCAGAACTTCAGGAGAGGGAGAAATCACTTCTAGCTGGACTGACTAAAGAAGGGTTCCTGGAGCAGGCTGGACTTAGGCTGGGTCCTGCAGGCGGGTAGATTTTGGCCAAGTGGGAGAGCCAAAATGAGCCGGCGAGCATAGGTGGCGCTGTCACTGCCGCCAGCAGTGTCCCCCATCCCCTCCCCCACGCCTCCCTAGAAATCAACCAGGTGTCAAAGCAAGCGCGGCTCTCCCCAGCTTAGCCCACGGATGAGGGTGGCTGGGGTCTGGGTTGGCCTTGCAAACTCAAGAGCTTCCCTCTCCAACATTCACGACACACATAACAAATCAGGGCCACCTTAATGCACAATCAATAAAGTCTAATTAAATAGGATGTCATATTACAGGGCTTCTTTGTCACATTCAGACCTAATCTAATTAGATGTCCACTGTATTTTACATTCTGACTAGCTCATTGTTGAGGATTTCGCTTGCACAATTGCATGACTGTTAAAGATGAGGTTCAGGGCTGTTCTTTAACCCATAACCTTATTGAGTCAGCCTGGAAACACCAATCAAAGTTACTTACAGTTCACAGTCCCTTTTCTGGTGAGCGGCATGGAGGACAGAAAGCCTCAGGATCCTGCTCCAGACTTCACCTGTCAATAAAAGAAAACATTTTTTTTATAGATGTGTATGATTCCTCTGGGAGTGAGAGCCAACGTGGGATGAGGGTAAACTCAGGAGTCGGTCTGGCACAGGAGCAGGGAAGGATTGCAGCTCTATTCCCACAATTCTTTGTGAAAAAACGTCCTGATCCAGGGACTCTTGGTGCAAAACGATCATTGTTTAGACAGCTAACCAGGACAGTGAGAGAGAGGATCACTCCCTCCTTACCTGCTTGGTGCCTCAATTTCCTGTGAGTTTCATCCCCTTCCCTACAGGAATCCTGGAGAAAAACAGGCTCATGGCTGTTGAGAGCCCTGAGCTGACCAAGGCAATAATCATTTACGGATGCTTCCCGTCTGACGGGAGACCCCATGCAGAGGGACAGAGCTGAACAGCCCCTGTGGAAGCTTGCAACCTACATGGGGAAGGCTGAGAAAAACTAGCAAACCACAAAGCCCAGGCTGTTGTAGGATTATGGAAAGTCCTGATGCAGGAGAGAAATTTCAAGGAAAGGTGAAGAGTCCAGTTGGGCTAGACAGAGAAGAATGATGAGGGAAGGACTGATAAAAAATGTGACTGCTTTTAATTCTCTTTCTGGAAATAGAGCAATAACAAGAAAAACCCAGCACATGCTTATGAGGTGTCTGCTCTGTGATCGACACTGGCTAGGTATGGCAGGAAAAAAATCCACGTGTGGGTCCTGCTATAAAAATGCTGCCACGTCATTCAAGAAATAAGATGACCCCTATGGAACATCATCAGATAAGACAAGACTATATGCGTGGTGCTGCTGAACTGTGTGGTAGGGACTATAACACTCTCTCCACAGAGAAATGAAGTTGGCGAGAGCTGAGGCGCTCAAGGAAGTATTCGGGGATAGGGAGAACCCGCACAGGTCTTGGAGATCAGCAAGATTTGGCCAGTAGAAGGGAGTGAGAGGGCAGTCAAGGAAAGGGACCAATCCGAGCATGGATGAGAAGGGGACAGCATGGAGTGCCCGGGGACAAGGCGGAAACTGGTTTGCCTGAAAGCGACCAAGGAGAGACCGATGCTGAGTAAGCCAGATGGGGCTAGAGCATGGAAGGCCCTGAGTGTCAGGCAGAGAGGCAGACTTGGGCTAGGAGCTGGGCTAGAGGGCCACTGAAAGTTTTTCAACAAGGAAATGAAATGAAGAAGAGGAACCCCCCTGCCCTGACCCCTTTACTATGTTCCCTTTAATTAAGACAGAGAGGCTTCTTGGAATTGTCGGAATTTCAGAGAGAAGGCTCGGGTGTGGGCCATCGTGTGATGTGTTCATGGAAAGAAAATGTCCCTCTGGTGCCGGATGATGTCCACACATCCTCTGGGGCTGTCTACTAACGTCTACATGACCAAGATGAATGGCTCGAGGAGGCACCTCTGAGACAAGGATTGCATCTTATGCATCTTTATGGCCCCAGAACCTCGCCGAGTGCCCACCATAGTTCTCTGTGCACGTCTGTTGAGATGTTCATTGGTGGACCCTGGTCATTCCATACACAATCCACAACCAGCACCTCGGGACCAGCCATGGATTGGCAATGGCTGTCAGTGGGCTCCCGCTTACGTTCTTTTAAACAGCTGCCACGCTGCTACTGAGCACGTGTGAACTCAGTGTAAGAAGTCTCTGGATGGAATTGCACGCAGTGGTGCTTTATCCCTGCCCTCTGGGATTGTCTGGTGAGACGCCAGCAACTTAGAAGAAGATATGGCAGACTTGCCGTTTACATCTGCTGCAAAGCTGGGAAGGAGAGCCTCTACTGGAGAGATGGATTCAAAAGTGTTAGAAAGCTTTTAACAAGCAGAAAGAATGGGCCAAAACTAAAAAGTCCAAGTTTTCCTCTACCAGGTTTTGTTTCTCGTGCGATAGCATCACAACAGCTATAAATGAGGTAATTTTGAAGATAAAGAAATATTGCCCATCATCCATCACCTGACACATCAAATGATTATATCCTATGTCCACATGCAAATCCATTTTTATTTTTTACAGAACTGTAGAAAAGATTTGACAAGGATATAGTCACCAAATCCCACTCTCGCATTCAAAAATCAATCGCAAAAACACCAAACAGGGTAACCTGGTTTAAAACAAAAAAACCCCCCCACAAAACAAAGATGTGGGTTATTTGAATTTAACAGAAGCTCAGGATGATCCCAGAGTGTGGTGTTGCTGCCAAACCCATTACATCTGATCTTAGGTTGCATTAATAGCCATAATGTCCAACCAAGGGGTGAACAGTCCCCTCCCTTTGGACTTACCAGTCCATATTAATTTAAGATGCAGTTTTGACATCCCATGTAATGCCTTTTTGAATTTAAAAAAAAATTTTAATGTTTATCTTTGAGAGAGAGAGAGAGAAGCCGACTGCAAGCAGCGGAGGGGCAGAAAGAGAGGGAGACACAGAACTGAAGGAGGCTCCAGGCTTCGAGCTGTCAGCACAGAGCCCAACTCAGGGCTCGAACCCATGAATCGTGAGATCATGACCTGAGCTGAAGTCAGACGCTTAACCAACTGAGCCACCCAGGCACCGCCCCCCCCCCCCCATTTTAATGCCTTTGATAGTGAAGAGGGGAGGTGAGCGAAGTCCAGTGGCTAAAGGGCGGGTTAAAAGTTTAGCCATTAAAATTGCAAACTCTGGTACCAGTCTGCACGGTTTTCCGTCCCGGCTCCACCACTTACTAGTGGCATGGACAGGTTACTTAACTTCTCTGAACCTCAGTTTCCCATTTGTAAAATGGGGCTAACAAGGGTTCTACCTCTGAGGTTAGTGTGAGGACTCAATGATTTCGTATCCTGCAAAGTGCTTGGGACAGTGGCTCACAAAAAATGAGCACTTGCTGAATGTTAGCTATTGTTACTGCTATTTTGTTGTCGCTGTTTTCGTTCCTAGGAGGCTGTGAGGTAGAAGATATGAAGGAGGGAAACAGAGAGGTGCCTTCACTTGTCCCTAAGATTACCTGTCATTCCCCCACATGGTCGTCCCCCAAATATTTGAAGAAACTATATGGAAGAAGGACTGTGTTACTCTAGACAAGAGGATTAGGACTAATTGCATTATGTTAGAGGAAGTCAACCTCCAGTTCAACATAAGAAAGAAGCCTTCAGCAAGGAGAACCATCCAAAAATGAGCTAGCCTTCCTCAGAAGGTAGTGAGTTCCCTAACCCTGGAAGGAGAATCTGCGCTGGGTGAGAAGCTACTCCACAGCATAGTCTCCCAGACATGGCTTCACCCATCTATGAAAGGTTAAAAAGACATTAGGAGACTGATAGAGTTTACAAACTTATATATATATATATATATATATATATATATATATATATTTTAATTTTTTAAACATTTATTTATTTTCGAGAGACCGAGAGAGAGCATGAATGGGGGAGGGGCAGAGAGAGAGGGAGACACAGAATCCGAAGCAGGCTCCAGGCTCCGAGCTGTCAGCACAGAGCCCGACGCGGGGCTCGAACTCATGAACTGCGAGATCATGACCTGAACTGAAGTCGGACGCTTAAACGACTGAGCCACCCAGATGTCCCCAAACGTATATATTGATAAAACATTAATATTGTCTTCATTTATCATCAATTTCATAAAGTAATTCAACCCCCAAAGTAAGGAGAGTAACAGGACCATTCTTTGAATTGGATAAATAGAGCGCCATGGAATGCATTCCCTCTCTCCCTCTCTTTCTGCCTCCATCTCTTTGTCTGTCTGCTCTTCTCTCTTTCTCTCTGTCTCACAAACACACATCCAAACACACATATGTGCCCACACATGTAAACAAGTGACCTCTCCATGCTGTCCTCAGTTTTCACTCATGACCAGTGGAAAAGTCTACTTGAACTGGCACAGATCCACGGACACGTGCTGGACAACCGTCTATGCGCCATGTATTTTAGGGCCTTCAGAGCTGGCAGTGTATGGTCCTGGCAGGCGAGTGATCATGTTAAAAGCCTTCAAACGAGCAGCTGTGCAATAACGGAACCAGTATTAAACTCAGGCCTGTCTTATTCACCATGAAAAGAAAATGGAACTATAAATGAGATTGACCACTCACACCTATAAATATGAGGAAACTTGTGAAACGATCAATGAGGAAGGAGTTGCTGGATGTTTGTCTGGGAATAAGGTAGGGAGAGGGACAGAACAAAGCTTCCTACAGGAGGCAGCACGTGCTCCAGGAGAACTGAGTGGCCCCTGTGTAGAGCACGCCCAGGAAAGCTGGAGGGCTGGAAGGCTGGAGAGAGATGAACTTGGGGTTTAGCAAGGGCATGAGTCTAACACAGAGAACACCAGGCCTGGAGTGTTCACCAGACATGGGTTCACACCCTCACTCTGTCAGTAACTTGCTGAGCGATCTTGGACAAGAAACTTTACCCACTCCGTGCTTCAGTTTCCCCATAGGCAAAATGATATGGTTAGACTACTAGATAATCCTTAAACCACAATTCCATATGATATCTATATACCTCTGAGGTTGCCCAGACTAACCTGCCGGGGAGGGCTTTAAGTCTAGTGCTAAAATACCTCAGTATGTCACCCTGGTTAAGAGTAAAGATGTGGGAGTCTGTGTAGTTTTGGGTTCAGACCTGGGTCCATCATTAACCTAACTTTAATCTCTACAAACCTCAATTTTCTCATGTTTAAAAGGTGGGGGATTAATAGTAGCATCTCTACAAAAAAATTTTTTTAATGTTTATTTAGCTTTTGAGAGAGAGCGCGTGCACACAAGTGGGGAAGGGGCAGAGAGAGAGGGAAACACAAAATCCAAAGCAGGCTCCGGGCTCCGAGCTGTCAGCACAGAGTCCAATGTGGGGCTCGAACCCACGAACATGAAACCAAAGTCAATGCTCAACCAACTGAGCCACCCAGGTGCCCCAATAGTAGCATCTTTAAATGAGATGATGTACTTAGAGCATTTTTGTGCAATGCCTGAAACAAGCTACTAATAATAAATGAGGGCCATGTTG